AGCCCATGGCACAGCCTCAAACACCTCCTCCGTTCCAAGAGACACAGATGACATCTCCACTGTCAACACCAGGGTGGATCTAGACAACGACGACCTGCAGGAACTGGAGGAATTTGACGATGACATTGACGACCAGGACAAGGATGCAGAGGAACAAAAGGGGGGCATGGATGAGAAAAACCAGATCAGTGACAAGGTGAAAGGATCAAAACCAACAGGGAGCCAAGGGACACCATCGACGATGGAAATCTGAACCATGGAACAGCAGTTGATGGACTGGACTGAACTCGCACTACACTTCAAACCGGACCCGGCAAGTGTGAACTGGCTGAGAACATACAGAGACAAAATGGTTGAGGGATGGATAGCGAGGACGGCCCCAATGCCGGCCCATGTCCACACTGAGAAGATGGTGAACGTCCTACTGAACGGACAAAAGGCTTGGGGTGGAGGTAGTAAGGGACTACAGTTCTATACCATGGCATGGAGCATGACCTTCAACCAACTGATGTACCACACAACCATGCATGAGATCAGCAAAGACCTGGACACGATGCCGACATCTAACCTAATCTGCATCCCACACTTCCCGGAGCAGCACATGCACGATTCAGCACTGAATGCAGCGATGGACCACGCAGGAGCATGATACTTCACCAACGACAGAGTGTGCTCCCCAGAGGCAGTACCCGCAATGTGTGTCCTTGCCGCTTTCATGACCACAGAGCCATATTTCCCCCCTGAGAATGTACTGCAACTCGTCGCAGCCTTGACCTTTACAGAGTTTCAAGAATGGCAACAAGAAGTTCGCCGAGATTGGATTGCATTGGTCAGAGAAAAGGCCAAGTCCTATGAGGCGGGCGTATTTGAATAACAGCTAGGAACCGGACCCGTTGGTCCAGGTGCAAAGCCAGTGGGTCCACGGGGACAGTGGAGAACAACACCAGCACACTACACCAATACTTCACCTCCCGAGGGCCCCACCCCAGCAGTAACCAAAGAACACACCACCCATCCACCCCAACTCCACCCACCCCCTCCCACCAACGAAGAAACCGAATCAACCACCGCAGGCAGCAAACTCATGCATTCGACCCCGACACAATCCAACTCAGAGTCTCCACCAACCCAATCACCCAACCAAACCAAACACCACCCACTCCAGTCACCAACACCACCAACGTCGAGAGCTTCGGAGACAAAGCCACAGCAAAAGCATCACGACACATCAGGATCCTCTTCCAGAATATTGACAACCTCCCCAAACATGAATGGCAAGACAAGAGCAACGACCTAGCAGAAGCTGCGAAACTCCTCGAACCAGATGTTATGGGATGTGTCGAAGTTGGACTCTACCCGCCACAACAATCCCAACAGGACGCTGGTACAACCCTTAAGGAAGAAACTCAGAGGCATCCGCACCAGCTACACCTACAACTCCACCGAAACACACGAGACTGCGTTCCTACCTGGTGGCATCAGCATGGCAACAACACTGGAAGCCTCCTGTCACATGAAAACCTCGGACCATGATCCCAGTGGTTTGGGACGATGGACTTCCATTATGATGCAAGGGAGGAAAGACCACAAGCTCCGTGTTGTCACAGCCTACAACCCATGCAAGGGCAGAGGCACAGACACGGTGTTTCAACAACAACTCCGATACTGGCGCCGAAACGATGAGTGCAAAACACCAGATGTCAAATTTCAGGAAGACCTGATCAGTGCATTGCAGTCTTGGATGGAGAACGGAGAGCACATTGTCTTGATGATGAATGCAAACCAGGACGTTCGAGACGGGAAGCTAGCCAAAGCCCTTGCTGTAATTGGTTTACCCGAGGCAATCCTCTCGGCCCACCCTGACCAACCAGTCCCAGCCACCCACCAACAAAACCACAAGAATATCCCGATTGACGGCATGTTCACCACACTTGGCCCCTCTGCACTGACCTCTGGCTACTTGGGATTTGAGGCTGGCCTCCCCGGGGACCATCGACTGGCGTGGATGGACATCCCCTTCACAGAAGCCTTTGGAAACAAACCGCCCAACCTCCACTCCCCAGACAGGTCAGTACTGAACGTGAACGCCCCAGGGAAGGTTAAGGAGTACACCAAGTCTGTCAAAGCCAGCTACAAACAGACGAAGTTGAGGGAGAAGATTGATACCCTCACTACAATGATGAAGAACAAACAGGGATTGCGGGCTATCAAAAGCATGTTCCACTGCATTGCCATGAGCAACGGAAAGATCCGCAAACAGTCAAAGAAGGAGATGAAGCTGAGCAAGAAAAGTGGTGTTCCATGGTCCCCAGAAGTACAGGGTGTAATGGACTGCAGAAAGCTCTGGGCATCGGTAATCAAGCTCAAGATAAACCTGAAAGTGAGCAAGAAGAGGATCAAGCATCTCATGCGCAAGTGCTCCAACTCTGACGCCTGGGAAGTCGACTTAGAAACTGCGAGGAGCCGGCTCTGGAAGGCCAAGAAGGAGTGGTGGAAAATGAAGAAGAACGCCCACCAACTATGACGAGACTTCCTCGACCAATTGGCAGAGGCAAGGGCAGCCACGTATGGTACCACAGCGGCATCAGAACTGAAAACGATGCATCGCAGGGAGAAACAGAAGGAAGACGCACGAAGGAGGAGAACGATTTCGAAGAAAGGAGCAGATAAAGAAAGAACGACGAAACTGTTCTACACTGACCACGACTTGGCTACAGGTACCAGTCAGGTCGTTGACATAGATGCGGCTGCAATCCGTGAAGGAGAGACATGCATGTCCCAGTGTCTCCAGTCACCATTTACCCAGCCCCCATTGGATCAAGACTTTGGGAACCTCGCAGATACGAAAGCAGCTCAGGCCGTCTTGGATGGCTCCTATGAACCACCAGAAGGAACCGACAAGTATACCCGGATGTTGATCAATGCCTTCTGCAGATCTCCCAAGGTGACAGAACTGCCCGATGAACACATGCAATGGACACCCGCTCTGCTGATGGCAGCCTGGAAGAAGCAAAGAATCACCACATCCTGCGAGCCCTCTGGATTGACCTTTGACCACCTGATCATGGGAGCAATGGACAGCGAGATTGCCATGGTAGACACCGTGCTCCACAATGTCCCTTTCGTCCTCGGCTTTGCACCAGAATCCCAACTCGTCATGACAGACCTCGCAATCCTGAAGAAACCGGGATGCTATGAAGCTGAAAAGATGAGGTTCATCTTTCTGCTTGACACCTACTTTAATATGAATTGCAAGAGACTGGGGCGCATCATTATGCAGCAGGCTGACAGGTTGAGGGTGATATCAGAAGAACAATACGGGAACCGCAAAGGCAGACACTGCATTGATCATGGCCTAAACCATGTGCTCCTCGTTGACATCTCCAGGATAAAAAGGTGGGTGATGGCACTTATACTTTTTGATGCATTACAATGCTATGATCGCATCAACCATGTGCCAGCAATCCTGGCTGGCCGCGCCATTGGAATCCCAAAGACTACAACACAGTACAGATTTGGCACCTATCAAGAAACCACCCACCACGCTTCTACAGCCTATGGCATCTCCACGCACACCTACGGAGGCCCCCAGCGAGCAGCCCTTGGCCAGAAGCCACTTGGAGGACAGGGACAGGGTACAGGTGATGCTGGAAGTTGGGCAGTGCTGATCTTTGCCTTTATGGTCAACATCATTCGCACCCTCGGGCTCTCGTTGGCCCTGACCAGCCCCTTCACCAGGCAGCTGATCTCTCTGATTGCACTGATATTCATTGACGATTACCTCGCCAACATTGGAGCCACCCACCAGTACATGACAGGCAAAGAACTCCTACCCAGGGCCCAACAGGCAGCAGACATGTGGGAAGGACTCCTATGGTCAACTGGGGGAGCCATCAATCAGGGCAAATCCTACTGGTACCTCCTCGATTACAAGTGGAACCCAGCAGCCGCCAAGTGGTTCTACCGTCCCAAAGGGGACATGCCAGGCAACCTAATGGTGAAAGACACTGATGGTGTGCGCAAACCCTTGCCCAGAAAGGAACCAGATGAAGCAGAGAAGTGGCTGGGCTTCCTCCCGGCCCCCAATGGCTCCTCCAAGCCACAGATAGCATACCTGACTGAGAAGGTGGAACCATTCTGCAACAAGATTCGCGGTTGTGGTCAAGCAGAAAAGAACGATGTCTGGATCACCACCACCACCACCACCATCATGAAGACTCTGGATTATCCGATGCGGGCCATCCGATTGACACACTCTGAGTGGGACAAGATGATGACCCCACTTTGGTCCACAGTTCTCCCCCGTGCAGGCTTCTCCACCAACTTCCCAAGGAAGGTGTTGTACGGCCCCACCGAGTTCCAAGGCATGGGAATCATCGACCCTTGGCTGAGACAAGAGCTAGAACACATCGGCACTTACTGGGACAAATTCACGCGATTGGACACCCCAGGTCAGATCATGGAGATAGCCATGGAGCAATTCCGACTTGAACTGGGCAGTGACAAACCCATCACTGCGCTCCCTTACAAGCAGTGGGGGGCATACACGACCCCATGTTGGATAAAAACAATGTGGGAATCCTGTGACAAACTTGGCCTCTCGATCGAAGATGCCACTGCCAAGCCCAAACTGTCACGGCAGAACGACAGATTCATTATGGATGCCTTTGCAGAAGCAGGATACAAAGGTGACATGCTAAGGCAGCTCAATGTGGCCAGAATGTACCTCAATGTCATTACACTCAGTGACATTGCAGACGCAGGTGGACAACACCTACGACTGGAGAGCTTCCAAATGGTGAGAATTGAACCACACTTGCACAGCTTGGAATGGCCGCGTCAGCCTCCATCCTTGCCTTCAGCAGTCAAGACCAATTGGAAAATTGCTGTGGAAATTTGCTTCCTCGAAGGTGACACTGGGACAAACCCCAACCGGAGATTGAAACCACACCTCCATCTGGGACATTTGTAATGCGGCCGGTGACACCATTGACCCTGCCATGTACTCTGGGGATTTCGACAAAACCTTCAGCACCTGCAACCACTTACGAGTCAAGCAAGCCAAACCAAACGAGACAGCCTGGAAAGCATGGAGACAGGCACTGGGTTACTTCTGTTACACGTTGTCCAGGAAGAAGAAATATCTCAAAACCGAACACCACCTTACCACCTGGCTACTCCCCGCAACGCAACTCCGACGACGATGGCCTGCCTTGTACGACCCTGGATCCGACACGGAAATCTCCGATCACATGTATTGTCACACTCCCGAGGGATGGACCATGCATCAGAGCATCCGATACGATTTTGACCAGACACCTTCTGGCATTGTCAACACTCCACCTGAAACTGCGGCCCCGTGTGATTACAAAGTGAGACCCTATACACTTCAAATGATGGGGTATGAGAATGTCATACAGCAACAGCAGCCAGAAACACACACATCAATCAACACACTCATTCCTACTTTGGACGCCTGGGAACAGCATCTACTCCGGGACTTACACTTTCTGGTTCCCGAAACTGAGGTTTGAACAGCTCTTGCTACGAAAGCTTGCATTCTGGCCTGTGATGGGTCAGCTCCCGATGGTAAGGGATCTTTTGGGTGGATCCTCAGTGACCCCCAAGGTACCCGCTTGGCTCAGTGCAACGGTCCGGCATTTGGTTACCAACTGAACTCATACCGAGCCAAAGGATACGGGATGTTGTCCGGTTTTTGATTCCTCCACCACATGACCACGATTCACTCCACAGACAGACCAATCCACAGGCATGGCTGCTTCTGTGATAACAAATCAATGGTTGAGGTCACAGTGAAATACTCCAAATTCGACAGGATCTTTCCAAACAGTACCTTATCCGCTGAGTGGGACATTATCGCCGAAATTCGACAAACTCTACAACAAATCCAACCGGCCACTTCCATCCCTAAAATCAAACACATCAAAGGCCATCAGGACGATGAGAAACCATATGATGAATTAACGCTGGAAGCCCAACTCAACGTCGACGCCGACGGCCTAGCCAACCAATGGTTGGTGGACCACCCAAACTTCGACCACACACAAGTCCCAATTCTTCCAACGAGTGGGTGTCAGCTCAATCTTCCAGGTGGAACCATCACACGCAATCTGAAACACGAACTCAAACTGGCAGGATCGGCGCCTCAACACAAACAGTTTCTCATGAATAAACATGAGTGGGACAGCGACACATTTGAAGATATCGACTGGAAATGCCATGGGAGGGCACTCAATCGCTTGGATCACCATCGCACCTCCCTCACCAAGTACCTTTGCAATTGGCACCCCGTCGGTAAACGTGTCAACAAATACCACCTCAAATATCCCATTACATGCGCATCCTGTGGAGCCCCAGAAGAAAACAGAGAACACGTCCTGAGATGCCCCAAGCGACAATCAGAACGAACGGCATGGAAGAAGGCACTCAAGAAATACACCGACAAGCACAACACTCACCCAATGCTACAAACACTTCTTCTCTCAGCACTCCAAAAAGTACTGCACTACGCTAAAAGCTAGTGTAAAGATCTTTCGAGTGTTTTGAGTTTGAGAGAATGAAAGTTATGAGTTATGAGAGGATTAGAAAGCTATGAAAACTAATCAACGAGAGAGATCACAATCAAGGGATCGTAGATCTGAACTCCCGCGGGAGACTGTAAAGTGTGATAGAGTAGGTTGTGGTAGTAATCCTACTCGTCCACGATCCAAAAACGGAACGCGTGGAAGATTCGTCTAGCATTTATCTAGTAGCGTGGAATCTCTCCACGCCAGCTAAATATCTAGCGGATGTTCACCATCGACCTAGTATGCTAGCGGTCATGAGACCCTGTCTCAATGACTATTCACGAGAGACTCAGTCATGAGTCGAATAACAAACCTATCTAGGATCGAGTCGCGAATAAGGCTAAGAGCCGTGTATTCATTCGCCCCCTGACAAGGGTCACGAAGGCACGACATCAGTCGGACAAGGAGAACATATGATATTAAAGTGCGGGGCACTCTCATGAGATTGGATGTAGACATGTGCGTCGCACGATGGCAATCCTACAAGGGGATCAGGCCTTGTATGGGTGTATATACCTTATGTTCCAAGTCTGGTAGACTGTGCCGCCATTGGCGGTAGCATGTTGAGCCGTACAGTGCCATTGTCATTGACTCGGTCTATAGTGTAAGGACTTTGTACTTTGGCTGACCGTACTTGCTTGCGGTGCTGATACTGTTGAATCATCACGGTATCGTTGACATTGTATTGATGAGGGACACGCGTCGCGTTCTCCCTATCGTTGTTCTGTTGGATGAGTCGTTGGCGACGTTCCTTGATGTACTTCCAGTTTGCTTCGAAACGGACGTTGTGAATCGCGTCACGTTGAACAGCAGCTGTGCAGGCGTTGCACGCGAAGGTGGTATGAATCGTGGCGTTCATTGCGAAGCGAACCGCCGTGAGGACTCCATCCCAGGATCCGTTCACGAGGTCGTCTTGGCACTTGAGTTTTTGAACAGCGATCAAGTTCGTATGGTTTGATGAGCACGCTCGACCATAGAGTTGGCTTGAGGTTGCGCGTGTGATGAACTTGCGACGAAGTCCATATTCATCCCGGAGAGTCTTCTCGACCTCTGCGTGGAACTCACGTCCTCTATCCATGATAACCTCAGCCGGCCATGGATACCGAGTAAGCCACGTTTTTTCTAGGACGATGGCTACTTTCTGCTGCCTTGGAGCAGATCTCTGCAATCTCGAACCATCCGGTTACGGGATCAATCATTGTCAAGCATGAAGTGTACAGGAATTCTTTTTCTTGGTCCCCGACGTTGTAGGGACCTATCAGGTCAATACATAGTCTTTCCCAAGGGATCTCCTCGCAAGTCTTTGGAGGCATCAATCCCAGCTTACGCGTCTTGGGTTTGTTCATCTGGCAGCTTTGGCAACGCTGACATACGGCCTGCACAGTCTTGCGCAGCCTTCCAGGTGTAGTGTTGGCTGATGGTTAGTTCTGTCGAGTCTCGCCAGGATGCATCAGCACACATGGTACCATTCGACTAGCTTCTTCTGCATAGTCTTAGGTACGACGATCTTATCGTCCTTAACTACTAAGTCGTAAGACTTATCCCCTCTGGGGAAAGATTGCTTCTTGTAGTCTTTGGCTTGTCCCTGAGGAGTTCTTGATATCGTGTCGTCTTTCTGACGATGTGATCTCGGGGAACGGAGAGGGAACTCGCTAGGAAGTCCTCTTCGTCTGCAGCCATGACTCAGCGATTCGCTGGCGTCCATTGTTCTGAAGAACCGTCGTTGTTGGAGATGTTAAGTCTCGACAACGCATCAGCGACGATGTTCTGTTCGCCTTGATGTACCGTAGTTCAGGGCCGTATTCTTCCAGAATAAGGCGCCATCGCATTACGCGACGGTATTGAAGTTCTTACTGTAAGATTCTTGTGGTCGTATGCACAACGATCTTCTTCCCAGAAGAATTTACGGAATCTTTTAGAGTTTCTACTAGAAGTTCCTTCTCGGTAACGTGTAACGTGTCTGAGCAGGTTGAGCTCCTGCTGTAGAACGCGATAGGTTTCCCTTCTGGAAATTACTGCATCCTAGTTGAGTATCACTCGCATCCGTGTGGATACGAATGTATCGTTGAAGTCAGGGTAAGCGAGCAAGGTTTCTTTGCTGATATCTTCTCATCTGGCTAAAGGCCTTGTCGGTCCGGCTTCCCATTTCCACTTCGTTGTTTTGGAAGTCAAGAAGGAGTGGGCCAGTACATGTGTCGTCTAATCCCATGTCTCGATAGTAGTTCACTATCCAATGAATCTATGGAGTTCTTTTCTGTTGTAGAGGAGCGATATTCTGATCGCGTCTATTTTTCTTGGTTATAGGTTGGATCCCTTCTCGAGTAATCCAGTAACCTAGTATTCAAGTTCTCCTCTTGCAAAGAAGGACTTGGTAGCATTGATCTAGTCCGGCTTCTCGAAAGCCTTCGGAGAACTTCATCCAACTTTTCAACGTGATCTGCCAGATCGCGTTAGAGATGAGTAGATATCAATGTATGAACGGACGTTTCTAGGTCGTGCATTAGGTTTCCCATCTTCTCTTGAAGATGTCGGGACTATTACATAGCCATTGGCAACCTCTGCTGTATCTACTTTCCCACGGGAGTACGATGGTACAGAGTTGCTTCGAGTGAGGTGACAGCTCGATGTGATAGTCCCATGTTCAGTCTAGACTAGTAGCGTACTGAATCCATCTAGATCCAAGAGCATGTCCTGTATTTTTGGGATAGGATAAGGCTTCCGCTTAATCCTTTTGTTCAGTCCCGGAAATCAGAGATGAATCTTACAGATCCATCTTTCTTGGGAATGATAAAAGTTGGTGCCGCCCACTCGGAACGGTTACCTTTGAGTACTCCTGCCTCGCAGAGACATTCAACCTCCTCTTAAGAGTTGGTATGGACACGTGAAATAGGATAAGCCCTGGCATGATAGGGTTTAGCATCAGGGAGAAGTTCTACTTCGTAGTCGTCCATCTGCCACTTTCCTAAAGTACCATCGAATAGGTCAGAGTACTTCGTCAGTAAGGAATGAAGTTGTTCCTTCTCTTCCTTGTTAACTGATCTTGACTTTGGCAAACCGCCTTAAGTCAGCTTTGTCGTATTTCGCATCAAGAATCTTCTTGGAGATCTGCACTGTCATAACAGCAGTAGGATCAGGAATGAAGAAGTTCTCTTCTTCATTGGTGTCGCTGTCTTTCATAGGATAGATGCGCCGTCCCATTCCACTGAAATGGTAGTGAAATCGAACTTGAATCCTAAGTCAGAGAGAATGTCTCGACCTTGATCATGTAATACGCCCCCAAGCTCTTGGTGAGTGTAAATCCCACTCGATAATTCTATCTTCGTGGAATTCAGGAATCATGAATGCACCTTTGCACTTCGTGCTGGTGTTTAATTCTCTGCAGGGGTAGTCCACATTTGTTGGACGCCCCCAAGATCCTTCATGGTAATTTCTTAGCATGAGTGAGCAATCAAGGTTCCGATGCTCCTGTATCCAGTAAGCAACAGAGTGTAACGGGTTTTTGGTTCCCTTTTTCTCGCTTGTTAAATCTAACATAGACGATGGGTTTGAGGTCTCTTGTCTTGCAGTTTACGAGGTGGTTGGCAAGGACGAGGTTAACGATGAAAAATAGATCATCAGAGTCAGTTGAGCAGCTTCTAGGCAATCATATATTTGCCGTAGTGTTCATCAGTTGCAAACAATTTTTGTTTACTAGTTAGTGAGATATCTTCATCACTTTGGTATGGAAATCGGAACATGGTTCCGTTGAGTCATCATCCTGGCCGTAGATAGAGATTTCTCCATCCAAGTGATTGAAATTGATAGAGGAGTTGTCCTCATTGTCAGAGTCTTTTGATTTGCGCTTGGCAACATGGTTGCGAAGTTTGCAAGTGGTTGCACGAGTATCGTCGATCTCGTTTTCTTCGTCATTGTCGATGAGAGGAAGAATGGGTTTGTCACGCAACTGT